TTGCTTGCAGTTGAGATTCGGACCCAAATCCCAAGCCAAGCGACAGTGGGAGAAGTCACGCTCTTTGTCATGCAATCTTTTAAAATAGTTATCACGATGTTTTCGCGTCAATGTTCGCCTTACCAGAACCTTTTAAAAACTAAAATGGTAAATTCGTTAATTTTTCTTTTGTAACCAGAGATTTCATAAAACAAGTAGTAACGTGTCCCAGCCGTGCACAATTAATACTTACTGGAGGTACCTTTCTAATAATTTCCACGTAATAGCTTCTGAAGTAGGTGCTAAGACAGTGTATCGAATAATAGCCTTAACTTCAGAAGCTGTTTTGTGGTAGTTATTTTATTATTTTAGTACTTACACTCTTATGGATGGTCCAATTATTAACATTAAAATCCTCAGTTTACGCGTAAATTTTTAATGAACAAATAAAAAAAATTACACGTTGAATATAGAACCTCATTCTTTAAAAAAAATAATCATCATGAAAATGCATTTTAGTTTCGAAATATCATTGCTTTTAAAAGGACATCAGTGTAAAAAAAGTAAATAACATTATAATAAGTATATCTATATTACGTCCACGTCTTTGAAATATTTTATCTTTCTTTCTTTGAAACATCTTCCTGATAATGACTCAAAATAATAAAAAAATAAAAATAAACTGCACTTGCCAACCCGCCGTTCAAGCGTGACAACTATGGCAAAATCCCCCCTATGAAGCAATCTATGGGGGAGGCCTATGCTCAGTAGTGGATTTTCATAGGCTGTAATGGAGTCCGAGCTTAGGTACAATATCTTGAAGTCTTGCAATAGTAAGCTTAGGTTTGGATTAACTCTTATCAATAATGGGATCCCAAGGAGGTGGTATAATCGCTAGTAAGAATCGGTGTTCTTCGATCGAGGATTTTTTTGGTTTAACAAATGTAATTGGTTACGGTTTAACGTGGTAGAGCCATGCTGCAGCTATATTATAGTTGCAGCACGGATAGAATAGATCAGCTCGACTGGGGAAGGACCACGCTCTCACAGAATACCAGTGTGAAATATTAATTTAATGATGTATTTCGAATGGTGAGTGTAGAGAACATAAGACCCTTTTTAATGGGAGCAGGATATTCCATCGTGGTCCTCAGGGGTGACAACGAATCTGCATTTTGCTTCTTAATTGAGGATAAATGTAGATGTCTATGGGCCACATTATCACTTACGATTAGGTTGACTGTGTGATCGCTTGTCGCCGTTGTGAGCGTCAACAAATATACCTGATGCACTGCAGCAACGTGGGAGCCTCAGCAACAAAAAAGCTAAAAGCGTAATTATAGATACTGTACAGTATACTGTATTAAAGTGGTCATAAAAATAATATATTTTTATAGTAGCGCTATTCAGGATCTACTGCCCGGATTAGAAATTCAATTAGCGGCGTAGTACCACTTAAGATATTTTTTCATCATACATGTAATTACTCTAATGCATATAACCACTACCCAGTAGCGTAATAACGTAGAGGCCTTTCATAGAATGCGGCAATATTATATTATGGTCTATCATAATATAGTATAGCCGCATTCTTTTGTTGCATTTCGAGCAGTTCACAGCTGAGTATGGGCTTCATTATTCATTCATTAATTCATATGGGTTTGAAAATAAAATGACACTACTAAACCTCTCACACCTTTTATGGTGCTCACCAACGTCGATCTAGATATTGTTACGAGCTTTTGGGTTCGAGACAATTAAAAACTACCGATTAAATTACCAAAATTGACACTTTAATTATAAAACACTAATTACAACTTAAAACCACACTAATAATAAAACGCAATTGTACTACTGATTACTTTAGTTCGCAATTAATTCGCTTCGAAGTATTGGCTTATATCGCCAATTCAATACTGCCTCGGTCGTGGTCTATACCGGCCTTATATAGCCTCAGATAGTTTCCAGAACCTTCTACTGTAGAAACATCCCAAAATTTCTAGAAGGATCTTGTACAAGACATTAATAGTGGCGCGCAACAATATTTTACATGTGGTACTTCGGGTCATTTACGAAAGCGATAGCTCAGAGGATATACCACTGGGGATCGCCTATGCAAGTAAACAGAATTTGATTCGAGCCGGCTCTACTACAATTGTTAATTGCTAAACTGCTGACTTACCAAGTGCTCAATCAACATTATAAATATGGTATGTCCGCCAACACTACTTGGGGCAAAGCGAGCGCTGTGTTCAGACGTGGGACGTACTTTCTGTTACTATAATTTCTTTATTTATATAAATTTCTAACTTTACTCATATTAACCTCATATGTCACTCACAGGACGATTTGGGGTGATTGTATTCCAATGATATCATTGTTGTATTCACATAAGCCGCCACGAAACCTCGATTTAAGTTTCGAATCACGATAAAGTTATAGTAAAAATAAATGAATTTATGTGATTCTTACGTAATAAAAACGATGGAGAGTAACTGAATACTAAGTCAAAACACAGGAACAAACCAAATACACACCTGTGTCCAATAGTGCACAATGGATGTGATTGGGAGAGTACATGCGCCATTTAAATTTATCAGAATTTTACTCTTTGTCTTAGTTGACACTTGAGCGTTCTAGATATGATAAAAGCAAACATGATGTCGTTTGGGTGAGATATTTATCTTTTTATATTTACAATAATTTACATATTAAAATTAAATTAATACGTAACCTTATAATTATTACGAGTTTACTACTGAGCGAACTGAACTGAACTGAAATGTCAATCAACATAAAAAATATTAAAAAATAATGCTAAGACAACTTAGAATCATAATATCATCATCATTACAGTCTATCACAAGTCCACTCCTGAACATGGGCTATCTCCAAGAATAGACACAAAGCACGATCCTGAACTACCAATACCTATCGACTTCCTGCATCTCTTACCAGCTCGTCACTCCATCTAGTGGGGGCCCGCCCTACACTTCGCTTACCGGTACGAGACTGCCCTCGACCTTTCTACTCCGTCAGTTGTCGGTTCTTTGGGCTATATGGGTAGCCCATTGCTACTTCATCTTACTGCTCCGTTGAGCTATATCGGTTACTCTGGTTACTCTCATTACAAAGTATATCACACAGAGAAACTCCGAAGATAGTCCTCTCCATAGCTCGCTAAGTGACCTTGAGCTTCCGCATACGGCCAGCAGCGAAGGAACACGTCTCAGATCCATATATCAACACTGGCAACACGCACTGTGTACTCTCTTGTTTTCAAGGTTGGAGGTATACGTGACGAGATGTGTCGCAATGTCCCGAATACTGCCCAGCTGAGTTGAGCGTCGTAACTTAATCTTTATGGTATTTTATGTATGTTATACGTAATTTTTTCAATTTAATATGCCACATTTTTAATTTGGTTGAATAACAATATTAATATTTTTAAAGATTGTATGACCTGACGTACTATGCGATTAAAAAAAAAAATAGAACTGACATGGCGCCATATTGTGACATCATAGCTGTCAATTCAAACCAGTTAGGTAGGGTGAGCAAAACGGATATTTTTGAAATAATATTTAACTACAAAAAACCTTGAACGAAAAAGTATTAATCTGAATCTATCATTTCAATTTCGCATCACTGTCTGAGTAGGCATCATTGTCATCATAATCACCACTGCTGCTTTCCTTTATAAAAATAGAACATGAATTTATGTAGGTATTTAAAATTTTACTAGTATCAATATTTTAAATTAATTTATAAAAATAGTTATGGGTTCAATAGAATTGGTAATACTAAGTCTAAGTTAAGTAAAGCGGAAAAAACGTCATTATTACGCAAATTAATATCTTTGCAAACCGTACTTTTCAAATGACAGTTGATACTTGATAGATCGTGGTCATTCGAGCTCATTGAGGTTTCTATTCTTATTTGAATTGCATTCTACATTTTAATTTAAAAATATTGTTAATTCATACATAATATAAGTATAAGTTATTACTCTAAGATCGCTGACTGACATCATTCTTTTATTTGTACAAATAGACATTATCCTTTAAATTTTAAGCGTAAACAGTTACCAGTCAGATTATGCTAAGCTGTAACAATCAACAAAGCACAAGGAGCATCAGTGGTAGCTGAAAGTTGCTCTAAAAGTTTATTTCATTGATATTAGATAATTGATATGATAAAAAGAACAATTAATGATTTTAAAAAAGGAGCCGACTTAGAAGGAACTAATTTGAAAACCTTTATATTTTTAATACTAGAATCTTCGTATTAAAAATATAAAGAAAATCGGTCTTTTCGTTTCTGAAACAAACTTGCGTATGAGGGGAGGGGAACAGACATACTTCTTGAGCCGGTTAAAAATGGAAGTTAAATTAAATTAACACATAAAAATGTACATCTCACGCCTGTTAGATTATTGAGTGAAAAACATAAGGAGAAAGAAATAATTAATATTAAGTCACTAAGTATCCCACGATATCCTTATTGTAGAATAATAATAAAGTCCTATCTATTTATACTTATTAGTCTTTTTCTGCACGCGTATATAAATAATACTGATGTTTAACCGAAGAGCGCTGTAGACTGTGTAGTGCTCTCATCGGTACAGTGATTAGCGTTAATCTGTCAAACGTAGGCACAAAATATGCGCTTCACATCCGTCGGCGCATGACCGAGCCACCCGGCCGAGTACTTACTACTCAGTACCTCCGCTGTATCGAACGCTGTTACACGTTATACGAAAATTTCCCGCCGCTTTTACACCCCTAAGCGGCTATCAATGACTGAAAATTGTCGTGAAAACCAACGAACACGCTAAATTTACGTTGAGAAACGTCTTCCAATGATAAATGTTTATAACGCGAATGCACAAATCGTTCGAATATGTTTTTAATAATGGATATTTGCATTAAGTATTGTTAGTTTAACCTGCGTATAAGTGACGCTCCTCTTGGATTGAAATAACTAGTGAAATATTTTGTTGCTAATTTAACTATACTAAAATGAGACAAAATAGCGATGCCTCGGCGTTAGCTGAGCGGATAGCGGCTTTCAAAAGCGATCCGGAAAAACTACAACAGGCCACCGAATTTGTGGAACAACTAATAAAGCAAGCAGAGAAGGATGCAGAATTAAGACTAAAAGAGAAAGAGAAAAACAAATTCGTAAGTATTCATGTATATTAACCCCGTATGGAAAACGAATGCACGGAAATGATAGGGCGGTAAGTGTTACGAAAAGTGTTAAAAGTAGTGAAATTGCAAGGTTCGGCTTGTTTCGAATAGGCATACTTCATTTCTAACTGATAGTTTTGTTCCTTATTATCAGATCAAGCTTTTATTACTTTTGTCGTCTGACTTAAAGAACCTTAGTTTTTACTTAACTAGACAAATCAATACTTCAACCTGACGCTTATTAATCAATCTCTTTAGGCACGCGTGAGTATGCGATTGCAATTTTTGATACTTTTGTTAGAACATGAACATAATATAATTTATTGTAAACATAAAACTGATATCTATTATTTTGTGTAAACATTGTTTCTCTATTCTATCATATTCGAGCACATATAAATATTTTAACAGTGCATTAGAACGACATATTTTGACAAAATTATCTGTGTTCAACAGATTGTGATGGGTAATCGGCTAACGATTTATCTGATAAAACTGTATAGTGCTAAAACGCCATAGAAATTTGTTTAATCAATAGCTGTTCTGTATCTAAGACGAGTAGTTGTTTATAGCTAATGGACATGCATATTTAAATTATAATGCACCTTATTAAATATTACTAACAATGAAATATACGAATGTTATTATTGACTTATCGATCATAATCAAGTTATTACTTTTAATCTGTAAATTTGATTTCCAATAACTTGAATGAGTATATTAGCTATTTAATATTCGTTGAAAATTGTTTCAGTATTCAACTTAAGTATGAACTCTATATTTAATTAATTAATGATAACATTTTAATAAAGAAGATTTGTGCATACGTGCAATGTCTTTACTATTATAAATCATTACTACATAATAGTATTGTCATTCATTAGACTTTTATTTGCTGAAATATAAATTACATATTACACCATACTTAGCTTGTTACTAGTTTTGAATTGCATATTGCCCGCTTTAATATAGCAATTTCCTTTTATTTGCAATTTAACATTTTCATCAAATTAACATTTCCGTTGTTGCAGGATGCACAAGACCCAGGATTAGGTAAGTAACATACATCGTACATTTTATTTTCTTACTGCGGTGTATACACATTTAAAAAGTTTTTATTCAATTCGTGTACCTATACTCGTTTGGATGGAGCGCTGGGTTGATACAGACATTAAAACCTCTGTATAGATCTCTAGTGTTTGTGTCAGGATCAACGGGGCCTACTCTGACTGGTTTGACATCTATGAAGGCAAGGTTGTGTAGTTTCCCCGTGGCTGTTCAATCTATTTATGGACAATTGTTTGAAGAATGTGGGTTAAGAATGGGTGAGTTAACCGTCAAATGCCTTTTGCACGCCGATAATCACGTCATATTTGCGTCGTTGCAAATGATGGTTAATTGATCGAAAAATCATTAAAAGAAAGGGGAATGAAAGTGAAGTAAGACGAAAGTGATATTTTTTGTGGAAAAAGAAGAAATTAAAACATATATGAAACATGAATAGTTGGTTGAGAAAGCGGATGAGTTCGTGTATTTAGGATGTCTGGTTGTAGGACTGGTGGGCATCTCAATTATATAGAACACAGAACTATATTCTTCACTATATTGTTGGAAATTAGAATGTATTGGAAAAGCACGTATGGCAATCCACAGTGCTGTGTTAGTCCCTACCTTTATGTATAGTAGTGAAAGTTGGGTGGGGAATGTCGAGAAATGCGGTCCATAAGAAGTATATTAGGATTGACTCTGAGGAAGAGAAATTGTTTGATAAAAGAAAAGAGTAGTTTGCAAGAAGATGTTGTGATTTTGTGATGATTAAGAAAGGAATGGTTTAGACAAAGAATGAATGAGGAAAGAGTGGCAAAGCAAATGCTGCAGAAGTAAGTGGCAGAGTCTGCAATGAATGCACTAGAGGGAAGTTGGTGGTATATTAAAGATAAACCAAATTTAAGATTACCATTAACTGACAGGCATCTAAGCATAGGTACATGAATTACAAAGAAGCCAGAGAGGTGTATAACAGGCGTGAGAGTTCAAATTATGTTATTATGTTATGATATTCAAGTATCTATTAATACGTACTATTTTCTTGTTTTTAGAAAATAAAACATTAGCTATTTATTCGAACGCTTATTGTTTCTTTTTATAAAATTAAAACGTCCCTCATATAGAATTTTCTGTAATATGTAAATATGATATTATCGTGAACCCTGAACAGTAATTTGAAGTACAAGCATTAATCCCGTACGGGATGAAAGCAGCGGCCCCGATCGCCGCAACCAAACGCTTAGACTTTGCAGTACCCAGCCGTCAGAACTTTTTTATTTATAATAATTTAAAATTTTACACCAAAGAACCTACTGAAGTATGAACCATCGATTGTTACGACCCTTTCAGTAAAAGTTAAATGAGTTTCTTTCATTAATACATTTGTCTTATGTAAACTATATAAGTATTTCCCAAAATTACTGTTAAAAAATAATTGGACTCTTTTCACTAGTATGGTATCATGGCGAAAATAGTGTATTATGAAAGCCTATTCTTCGGTTACTTGCGAGTGGAAACATAAAGAAAAAGTAATTGGCAATCACGCTCCGGCGCGGCATTCCAACAATAAGGCGGTTTGCAACCGCAGTTGCTCATCAGTGGCAACTATGGCAAATATCCACCGACCACCTTCAGTTGTTGGGGGTTGAGATATCCTCAAATATGAACTTCGGGCGGTTCATTGAGTCCAAGGCCAAAGCAGCTGCAAGGAAGCTAGGAGTCCTTGCAAAGTTGGAGCTATACTTCACGTCGGGACAGCTGCTTACTTTATATAAAGCGCAAGTCCGGTCACGCATGGAGTATTACTGCCATATATGGGTTGGTACTGCAAAATGCCACCTAGCAGCTTTGGATTCAATGGATAGACGTGCTAAGAGGCTTATTGGTGACCCGAATATGGTTAAAACCAATCTTACCAGTCTCAAACACAGGCGCAAAATAGATTTTCTACAGGATGCATTTCGGAGAGTGTGCATAGGAATTGCACAATCTCTCCCTTCAACTCTCCCTTCAACTCTCCCTTCAACTAGACGTTCGGCCAGTCTCCACCCCTTCGTTGTTGACTTACCACGCATTCGAACCAAACGGTTCGCTACATCGTTCATCATACGTACAGCCAAGGAGTGGAATATGTTACCAGCATCTTTGTTTTCATCCGATTACAAGGCTTTTGTTGCGCTTCACCATCGTAGGCTACATCACCACTTACCATCAGGTGGGATTGTAGCTAAGCGCTGGCTTAGAATAATATTATTATTAAAATATCCCATTTTTAAGGCAATGTATCGACGAGGCCTCTGTACAGCTGTGTGTGTGGCAATCGCACTAAACAACCTAATTTAATATAATATCTATTACATTGATAGAGATACATTGTGTTTTCATGCGATGGCCAAGTCAATCTATTTATTTAAAATATAAAAGATTTTTAGTATTGATGTGGTCACCATAAGATGTTGTTAGGTTAGCTAATTACGTAATAACTTAAGACAGAAGGACCCTTAAGTAGGGACTAAATAAATTAAGCGACTTGGTATTACATAGATCTCACAACTTTTAACGGTAGAACTGAGTTGCGAGACTTGGCTTTTTTTACAAGTTATGTTTTTGATGGCATCTCATTTCTTTTTGTAGATAGTTATATCTAGGTACATATCTACACCTATTATTCCATTATATTACACTGATTCATTCATTGCAAATGTAACTTTGTAATGCTATATATTTATATGGGATTACAAAGTCATTTATACAGTTGGTGTATCTCGAAAACTGGAGCGAAATTGCAAAATATTTTAATTTTTCCTTGATTTATATATTAAATAATAATAGTATTCCAAATTTGAAGCTTCTATGTCTGTTAGAAGTGCCTTAGAATTTTGATGATCGGTCAGTCAGTGAGTGACAAAATCAAGAAACTCTGACTAATTATAATTCTTAAACTACTGGTTCAAATTTAATGAAATTTAAAATATACTGAGTTTATACAATGCCAACTTGGTTAGTGAAAATTCAGGCTTTTAGTTTTATCCACGACGAAGTTATAGGGTTTCGAAAATGGCCTGAACTGCTTCGAGAAAAGGATGGTACGGCCGTGCCGCTTTTTTGCTCGACTTGGCGGGGGCACTGCCGTGCCCCCAGATAAAGGTATAATGATTTCTTACATTTACACGAACACTATACATTAATGAAAAATATTAAGGATTTTACCGCGTTTAATTTTCAAAATTTAAAAAATCCGTAAAATAGTTTTATTAAAAACAGGTGTAGTTGATTATTTTAATATAATTGATTGAGTTTTAATCTACCGTCAAGATTACTTATAAAAATAAACAAATAAACATTTTCAATACAATTAGCTTAAATGTCGAAGTTTTTCGCGTTTCGTGAAGGGGTACAGTTTATTGAATTTGATAAGGCCAATTCTTATCTATAATCTGATATTTAGGGTATTTACAAGTTTTATTTCCAGTATATGTCTATAATTTCACAGACAATGATTTTGGGGCTAAATCATCATATTCGGAGCTGAACAACCTGCAAACAGCTCTGAGGCTAGATCTTGCCCTGATTTTGCAAAGCATCACTGCAAAGGTCCGAACCTTACAGTTGCTGCTACAGTGTGATATCAACATGAATTTGTTGGAATGCCACAAACTTTTTTTTTTAATTACTGTAGTGTACATGGATAATAACAAGTCCTAGAAGACTTGGATAGTATTAATATCCAATATATCAAATAATTGCTATCGATAGAATTATATATCACATATAAAATAACGTGTTTAACCTTTGTTGTTATTTGCAATGTTTATGATATTATGTAAATTTTTAGTTAAGGGCAATAAATTATACTATTATTATTATCATCAAAGAGAAACAAGTGTTAAGACTAAAAAACTTGGTCCGGAATGTCAAAATGAAAGATCCGGACAGTAAAATTACAGGCAGTGTATTAACACACACGAGTATTACTATTGCATTTATTTTGTTATAATCAACAAAATAGTGGTCTGTTACATTGGGCCGTAAAAAATAAAAATTCCGAACGGTTAGATTATCATGTAGTGCCCAAGCGCCCTAAGCGGCATTTCTCTAATTATTTAAAATTAGTTCCGCAGACGTTGCATCATTTCATGTGGTTGTGAACCTAGTTATGGACATTCCTTGTCTTGTAAATAGACAGTTTTTAAAAATTTTGATACGTAGTGCGCGGCGACATTTTTTATATACTTGGTTGTCCTATTGGACAATTACAGATCAGTGAATCAGTGTATATGTCGCAGTAAGATAGTTAAAGCCGTGATATAGTTATATCCCTAGGGATATAGCGATATACCTGTTCATAACTATCTTACTAGACTAATCTAGTGAAATAATTATAATTGTAAACTGAATTATAGGAGGAACAAATTTCGCGACATTGAATTTAACTATTTAATTTCAAAAATTTAAAAAGTAATAGTCAAAAGTAGTTTTGACTAACAAATTATAAACAAACTACAATTATAATTATTTCACTAGATTAGTCTAGTAAGATAGTTACGGACCGCTTACATATAACTATATTACGGTATATAGCTATATTCCTAGGGATATTTTTATCATCATTGCCTTAACTATCTTACTGCGACATGTATAAAATATCGTTTATGTTTAAAGTAGTGCGGAAAGACGCTTTATGATACTATTGTATTTATAAGCAACTAGCTGTACACCGCGGATTTACCGCACATAATTTAAGAACGGACCGGTTGTTTGTTTGATTTATAATACTTCAGTAAAGACAAAAAATTAGTAACATTTTCATGTGGTATTAAAATATATTGGTTCTCTCGGTTCTCATCGGGCGACTAGGGTCATGCGTCTTTCACGCGTGTGTTGATTTATTTTGATTTTTCATTACCTCTTAAACTACGCGCCCAAATAACTTGCTATAAGGAGCAAAGTTTATCTTCATAAAATTGCCTTGATGATGAAGTAACTTTCGTTAGTAAGGATTAATA